CCTCCCTGTGGGGCTCCAGAGCGGTTACATGCCTTTCGCAGAGGTGAACAGTCGTTCTCCGAATGGCAAAGCGTAGCTGTGGCCGTCGAACTACACGACAACAAGTGAATTGTCGATTGAGGCCAAGGGTTGCACGCTACCCTTCGAAGGGTAAGATACCATGCACCCGGTAAGCCTCGCCATCGGCAATGGGAGTCGTGCAGCGTGAAACGGTGCAACGGGAAACGGCAGGTGTCCGCGTTCCAGCTGGGCCGATGGGGGTGAAGAATTTTCGCGCCAATTACCCTTCGAAGGGAGGCTGTGCGACGCCCTCCGTGACGAGCGAGATCTTACAGCAAGCGGGCAGTCACGGCGGGAGCAAGTGAAGGGAGGATGAGGTGATTGGCTGCAGAAGCGGCGACCATGGCACACACCTGTGCGCACACCACGATCCGTCCTTGTCAGCGAGCCACGCTCCATCCCCACACACCTCTGCTTGCCGCTCTGCCTCCGCTCCTTGCTCAACCACTCGTCCCCGACCCAGTCGCACACCCCGCCATAATACAATACCAGGGTACCAGTACCCTTAAGGGTACAGTATAACAAGACACATCTGTAAATACCGTACCAACCGTCCTCGCCGCACGGCCTCATCGCTCTGCGCGCCATCCGCACCCCCACCAGCTCCCCCATTTCCCGTCCCCCACCACACCACGGTACCCGTGATGACGCCCCCGCTCGCCCTCGTCCTCGCGCTCGCCCTGCTCCCGCTCGCGCTCTCCAAGGCGGTGTACCTGCAGCGGATCCCGAACGGCGACGCGTGGAGCCGGCCAGGCTCCGGCATCACGTGCCAATTCCTGGGCCACAACGACTGCGTGGAAGGCGATCCCCGCAACGCCTTCGGCCGCGCTTTCGAGGCCAACGGCCTCGTCTGGGACAAGACCTTGTGCGAGATGGACTCGGACAACGACGGCCTCACCAACGGCGAGGAGCTCGGCGATCCGTGCTGCGAGTGGAACGCCGACACCCCGTCCGAACTGCGCACCGACCAATTGAGCCACCCCGGCGACGAAAACGAAACCGGCGCCAGCGACGCCCCTGGGTGCGAACAGGATGACACCCCGACCAGTGGGGGGACACCCCCCACTACCGAAGCACCCCCTACCACCGAAGCACCCCCTACTACCGAAGCACCCCCTACCACCGAGGCACCCCCCACTACGGAGTCCCCGCCTGCCACGGACACCACCGAAGAAGAGCCAGCGACCGCCCCAGCCTCTAGCACCGGTCCTACCCCGTCTGGAGTCGAAGCTGTAGAGTCTCCAGCTGCGGAAGAGACCCCCGGCACCCCAACCGTCGTCAGCGGCGATCCTACGCGACAGCCCTCCGACGACGGGGTGTGCTTCCCGGGGCATGCTACCGTCAAGTTGCAGTGTGGCGCCGTGAAGGAGATGCGCCATGTGCAGATCGGAGATCGCGTACAAGTGGGACCGCAGCAGTTTAGTGACGTCTTCATGTTTACCCACAAGATGAAGGATGTGTTGCATGAGTTTGTCACGGTTGAGGTGGGAAACGAGGACCAAGTCTCTGCAAGGGTTACCCTGACGCAGGGCCATTACCTTTATGTCAACGACAAGCTCGCCACTGCTGGATCGGTCGTCGTTGGTGATCAACTCGAGCTTGTTTCTGGGGAGCGAAGGACGGTTGTTAGCGTGTCCTGTGCGCTGCACATGGGGCTCTTTAACCCGCAGACAACGCATGGCGACTTGGTCGTCGATGGTATCAGAGTCTCTACGTACACGACTGCTGTCGAGACTGGCATGGCACATTCTTTGCTTGCTCCTTTGCGCATGCTTTATCGCCTGTCGGGATGGACGACTTCGGTGTTCGAGGCTGGAGCCGACAGAATCGTTGCCCTGTTGCGGAATTAGAATTGCTAGTGTCGCGGGGTGCTACTTTCGTAACACTCTTCCACAAGAGTACAACGCCAATGAACATACAGTATTGAAGAAATGTCATAAGGACTCTCGTATGATTATTCATAGCCTATGTCCTCAAGTTTTGGACACGAGTTTTACAAAAACAATTTCAGCAAACACAAAGCGTTGAGCATCACCCTCGCCAAGTGACATCGACTGAACCGAGTCAGGCAAGTGCTCCCTAACAAAATAGATGTAAGATCTTGGTGTGATCCTCAATCCCGGCGAATTTCGGCGCAAGGGCTGTCTGGTGAGTGAGAGCATCCCTGAATTCAGAGGTGTACTTGCTCTGGCTTCTCAGCCTGTTCCATGACGGACGACATTCCGATACTTTTCAGTAGGGTGTTCCACCGTTTGCATTCCTGCGGGAAGATAAATGAAACTGGGATAACTGTGACGCCAGATCCGCCCACACTCCGAAGTTGCTGGATCGCGGAGTACAGTTGCTCCTTTGGCAGCACAATACTTATCGCATACATTCCCTCGTCAGAATCTGCTGGTGGTACAACTGGGCTAACCGTCGGTCCATCCACACCGCGCAAGTTGCTCTGAGTCGCGAGTCTTCTGCTCACATCGACCATGCTGGAACCTCTGATGTTGGCAATGATGTTGTAGTTGTCCCTGCCGAGTAAATATCCCTCAATGCGTTCCAGTAGTTCTCTGGACAGCGCTCTCAATCTCGCGCCGAATTCCGACTCTTCTCTCAGATGCTCGCGGTTTCCTATCAGTTGCATGGACGACTTGAGCAGGGTTCCGCCAACAATCTCCTTGAGAAGGTTTTCTCTCAACGTCACGCCGGATGACACAAGGTCAATAATGCAATCAGCAGTGCCCATCTGCGTAGAAGCCTCTAGCGCTCCGTCCATATTGATGAGACGGTAGTTCTCTACGTAGTGAGCTTCCAAAAAGCGCTTCGTCTCATTGACGTACTTTGTCGCAATCCTGAGCGTGCGGCCAGCTCCGCGTCGCCGGAAGTCGCTCATGTCATTACAATCGTCCCATTCCATCGGCACGCCAACCGCGAGTCTGCACTCCCCGTACCCAAGTCTGTCATGGACTGGCACAACCTGGTGATTGTCGCCGCCGTATTCCGCAACGAGATCATACCCAACAATGCCGAGATCGACATCGCCATCGCGAACCTTGCGGACAATGTCAGCTGGTCGTTGGAGCCACACCTCGACATCAAGTCCTTTTAGAGAGGCGACGTACTGACGTGGATTGTGAATTTGGACATCGATTCCCACGTCGGAAAGAAGGTGTTTCGTTTCGGCGAGGATATCGCCTTTAGACGGAATCGCAACGCGAATGCTTTTGCGACCACAGTGCGGCACGCACATCGTGAAGCTTACGGTGGATCTTCTTTCAGCAGGTTGATAGAAGCGATTTAAATATGGAGCTCGAGCATGAGCGAAGGACGACTTGCCCGTGGTTGAGGTCGTGCAGGGCGTGCCTCCAACTGAGTGGCGGACTAACGACATCGGCGGTAGGGAGAAAGCTGGAGCCATTTCGCGATGATATGGTTTGCAGCGTTTGTCGGGTTGTGGTAGATGTTGGAGATGGTGATGAGAGAGGCAATCGTGTTTGGGGTGAGCTGAGAGGCTTGATGTGCTCCACCTGAGCGAGGGTTTTGAGCGTTGGCGACAGAAGAGAAGAATCACCATTGTTCTGCGCACGTCATGCAAGTGTACAGTATACTGCAGTGCAGTGCATCCAAGTGTACTGTACAGTGCTGCACTATCGTGCTTGTTCATAAGACGAAGGGTAACAAAAACCTTTGCAAGGGGGGTTTTTTGCACCTTCCTATTCTTGAGTCCCTGCTCTTGATTGGTTCACTGGGAAAAAGTGCGCATATTTTTTATGCTGTTGAAGTCCTATTAACTTCATGGAAAAAGAGAACCAGGATTGCCATGTTCCTCCTTACCTGTCGGTGATGACATCGCGAAAACTCCACTATGCACACGTCGACTAATGTCTACTAGGACGCAATGGCGACGAAACTTATATCTATACTGTAAGAGTTTATTGAAACAGAGAGAAGGCATGTTTGCGACGCGGTCATGACTTTGTTCAGAAATAGAATTGTCCTAGTCGATAAAAAAGAAACCATTCGTTTTAAGATCAAATTGGATGTCGAAGTCGGGGATAAATCACCGCAATAAATCGTTTTTCATGTCGAATAGAACATACATATATATGCAGCCCTCCAGTGTCTATACGACCAAGCGTTATCATAACATAAAAATTTGAGAATGTTATTTCTTTTCAACTTTGATGTCCACGTTTCTCTTTTTCTTTAGTAAGTTGACTCGTTTTAAAAACTTTTCTGAAGTTAGACCCGAATAAAAAGCACTCTACAGAATGCCTCTAGGCTACTGGTATAAAATTGCTTAAAGAAAAATGCGTACTGTAAGCCGACTTTTTCTTTTGAACAGCTTTATGTGTGTCAACGATTTGGCTTTCTCTAAAATTGACAAGCAGATGCTTTAGCTGTGGTGATGGGATTCTAGTTTTAAAAACAGAAGTTCAATCGCCTGTTGCGTTGTCTAGGAAAAATAAAAATAACCTTTGTCCTCATATGAGGACTAACGGTTCGATAGACACTCTCGACTTGAAAATGCCAGAATTGACAATGCAGTTCTCCATGATCGAATTGACATTCGATTTTACCGTTTAGAATTGAAATCACTACAAGCATCATTTTTTAACATCTACGAACCAATACTGCGTTAAGTTACGGATCTCGAGCAAGGCAGTGAAACTGAAACTGGAAGCTGCCGTAAAAGTAAATAAATTTCCCGCTTTGATTTCGTTCTGTAAATTTTGCGAGCTCTTTACTGTACTTTACTACATCAGCAGAAATGGATAAAGAGTTGTAAAAAAAACTTGCCTCAGTGGTCGCAGCTACATTTTGGAATCATCTTGGACCCGACAATACCCGGCCTCGATGGTATGGGCTTTTCTCGTGTGCTCAAATTTGATTTGGCTTTACAGCACCTGCTCATCAAAGATAATAAATACAATTCAGAAGTACGAATAGAACGACGGTATAAAGACAGACTCTGCAGCATCTCATCCCTTTTCTCATTGGAGAATTACGTTACAGATCATTCGAAGCTACGTGCTCATGCGTCTTTTTGCGTAAGGTTCCCAATGGGAAGAAAGCGGTGGTGTTCTTCCAGCACATATCAGACAATATAACAATCAGTTTGGAATTGGAGCAAATGTGTGGTGGAAGAGCGAGGAAATGCGGAAATAGGATCGATCGATTTCCCTCGCGAATAGGTACATGAGAGTGCATTGTGCTTTATCTCAGACAAGTCTCTTGTACGGTACTCTCCCAGAAATAGGTGGCCATTCTGAGTCCCGCTTTACTGGGAACATTTATACTGTACTTCGAAAAGTTTTGAGACACGCTCACGTCAAGCCAAACTTCGACACAGTATCAGTGCAATTGCTCTTCAGCAAGGTGCCGAATTGAGAGCTCTAACTTCGGAATGTGCTGTTGAGCAATTGCACTGATACTGTGTCGAAGCTGCCCAGCATCATCAACAGCACGAGCTGACTCTGATTTCAGGAATGACATCATTGAGTCTTCGCACATCAAGGTCTCATATTCCCTTCAGCCGTGTACGGTCTGTAGGAGACTCCCTGATATTTTACTAAATTTCTATACCTCCAGATTTTCTTGGGGGCGATCTATCTGATGTGATACGAGTTGGGCCAGCAAGGCCTAAGCGGGGGCGAATGTTTCAGCCAATGAAATGACGCCATTCTAGAAAAAAACATGGCAAAGGCCTACCTGATGCCCCACTCAGAAGTGTGCATATGGCACTGTGCACGAAATGCAAAACGCCATGGCCCTCTAGCGAGACAGGCGCAGTGCGCTAGAAAGGTGGAGGCACAGGCACCTAGACTTCTCTGCATAAAAGCCTGTCGCTTTCCACCATCTCGGGCAGACTTCTGTGTACAAACTAAATTTCACAGCATCAGTGGTGGCATCAAAGAGAAACAGCACAGTTTGAATCATCATGTCGACAGACATGCGCCCGCTGGCCGTAGTCTTCGGAACACAGGGAGGAATGAGTGATGTCGGTAAGTTTGCCGCCGCTCTAGCTGTGAAGAAGCTCGGGTCATCTACCCGTATCATCGTTCTCGCTCCGACGGCCGAGGACCCCAACATGGAAATGGACGCTGACGTCACAGACGACAGTCTTCGTAATGAATTGAAGGCCGACCTCGAAACCAGCTCGCTTACTCGCATCGACATTGATGCTGACGACGCCCAGGAAAAATTAGACGAAGCTCTCCAGGGCGTTGGAACTGTCCTCGCATGCTTGGCATCCAGACAAGCGTCGTTGAGCAGATGGCTTGAGAGGGGTGCGAAAATGGTGAGGACTTCCATGGAAAAGAACAGCGCCGACAGGTTGGTCGTGCTCTCTTCGTTTGGTATCGGTCAGGATTTCACGTCATTTAGCGCGGTGAAGGTTTTATGGCACGCAATGTTGCGCACGTGGCTACGCTCGACGAGGAAGGATTTAATCGCGTTAGAGGCTGTCGTTCAGGGAAGCGAGCTTGATTACCTAATTGTAAGACCTGGAGGCCTCACTCCGAGTGAACCACCGGTCGGGAAGTGGAAGTTATTGACGGCCCCGAAGCAGGGAGGACTGGGGATTAGCATCGCGAAGAAGGATGTTGCTGAGTTTATGCTCAATGAAGCAACTTCTCCGACTTTTCATCGCACGGCTGTCACCATTGGAGCTGAAGAGAAATGAGAATTGTACAACTCGTGAGCTATAACGACATGCGTCGCTTTGTGGGAAGAGGAGCTTGGGGTTTGATTGCTTGTTTTTGCTGTTTCGCGTTAATTTGGCTTTATGCTTGTGTTTCGAAAGCTAGAACCTAGTTGAGCGTACATAAAAAGGGATACAATAGTCGGCAATGGTAGTGGGCACGGAACTGATACCCCGGCGAACTTCACTCTTGTGAGAGCTCATGTCCTCGATTTTTATTCCCGGCGCGTCCCGCGGGTTTTGCATTGGCGCAGAGACCCCCGCTGCAGGGTACAGAGTATAGTGCAGTACAGTTTATGCACCGTGCATTTTTGGACGCGCCGAGTGCCTTAAATGAAACCAAATATGCACATGCACGAAAAATACTTGGTGCTGAAAATACATACGCACCAGTGATCCGTCCGTCCCCCTCCCCGGTCGCACAACTCGCTTCGTCAACGACTCGCAGGACGTATTGCGAGAACGGCGACGTAGAGGAACGTGCAAATGAGGACATCATCTTTCATCTAGTCCTTAGCATGTTGGCTTTCTCTGAACGACGAGCACTTGTTCGTTATGATCGCATCAAACAGAGTTGCAGCCGACAGGCTGGTGCTGCGATTGCCGTGGGATTCTCGACATCATGCGGGGTTGCTGAGCAGTGCCTTGCTTCGAGATTACTATTTGCATGCAGAGCTCCCGCCTCCTGGTTGCATCCTTTCTCTTCGACTTCTTGATGAGGTTCTAGTACGTTTGGATATCCTTGTGGTGTTTCCAATGCCATCGTTGGGAACGATTGTGACATGTACTGAGAAGACGGAGGTTTTGCTGATCCCCGCCCTGCCACCGTCACTGTCATCCGAGCGCTTACTCGACCCATCGCCACAATGCTACTCTGAAGGAAGTGAACTACCAGCCCTCATACGCTTGGGATTGCACGGCAACCCCTTGCTAGAACGCACTGGCCTCGCACCGTCACGTTCCTTTTTGGTGACAGGCGAATATAGCTGTGGAAAGACAAGCGCTGTTGCGAGCTCTGCCTATGCGGCTGGAGCACATTTTATCCGTGCCTCGGCATGTGACGTCTTGCGCACAGTGGCGACCGAGGATGGGAAGCTGCATGCAATGCGATACTACATGCGGGCAGCTCGAGCCGCGCAGCCTGCAGTTTTGCTACTGGATGACGTCCAATTTCTTTTCCCACCAGACGATGATGATGCGGCAGCTGCGTTTATTGTTGTGATGGATGAGGAGAGAGTCCAGGCAGCTGCCAAATTCGTGATTGTGCTTGGCTGTTCGACGAATGCCGAATCGGTGCATAGAAGGGTTGCAGAAGCGACTGATGTGCTACTGCCCCTCGCCTTGGATCCTGAAGGGCGAACAGCAGTTGCAGTAGCGAGCAAAGTGAAAGGGCGATTCCGTGAGCTCAGTGAGGGAAGGGGTGCATTTGGAAACGTGAAGATGCAGACGGGGACGATTCAACCAACAATAGAAGTTGTCGGGGACAGACGGCCAACTACTACCGAAAAAAATGTGGGCACTGCCGATGCAATTGATCGTTCGAGAACAGAGCGGCTCATAAAGAGCTGGGTAGATATGTCTGGTCGCTTGGGAGGCCTGGAGGAGCCACAGAAAATTCTGAAGAGAGTCTTCTTATGGCGCCAGACGAAAGCCCACACCTTTGCTGAATTAGGTGTGAAGCCCAGCGTGGGCGTGTTGTTGTATGGTTGTCCAGGAACAGGAAAGACTGCCCTAATACGGCAAGCAGCTTCTGCCGCTCAATTCAAAATCATTCCAGTCAGTGCTGCGTCACTTGCTCGAGGTGAGATAGGAGCTTCAGAGCGGCTACTATCACAGATATTCAAAAATGCACATAGGTCATCACCTTGTGTTGTCTTCATGGATGAGATTGACGCCTTGTTCGCTACCGCAACCGCGACATCACCGCATCTTGTAAGACTGGTGGCGGCACTCTCACTACTTATGGACAACCTGTGCAAAGATGTCATCGTAATTGGCGCTACCAACAGACCGTGGATGGTTTCAGCAGGCCTTCTTCGTCCAGGGCGGTTTGAGCATTGTGTGAAGGTGTCATTGCCTAATTCGATAGAGCGGGGGCAGATTGCCGCCGTGTACGCCGCCAAGATGCAACTGCAGAGTCATGACAGACATTGCTTCGAGAACCTCTTACGCAGTACCGACGCTGAGGGTCTTTCGGGGGCGGACATTGCGGGCCTCAGTCGTAGAGCGGTTATGGCCTCAGTATGCAGAGGTTCCAAAATCGAAATCGGAGACTTGAAGAATGCCTTTAATTGCACAGTGCCATCTGTGAGCCCAGCCGAGGCCGTGCGCTTGGAGAGCTGGAACGCAACGCGTTAACGCCTAATAATACACAGATTTCGTGCGGTGTATTGGGAATTTCGCGAGCTGATCCCTATGTTCCGTTGCGTAATCCCACAGAGCAAAATCGATCATGACAGAGTTTATAGGAGCCGACTCCTTACTCCTCGCCGTTTGTCCGAGTTGCTGGTTTGTGAGACGCTCCATCTCCTGGCGTATAATTTCGACAGCATGGATGGAAAACCCCCGGATTTGTATCTCTCTCGGGTCACCGTGGGCAAGCTCCTCGCCACTGGCCAGTGCCTGAAGTACTTTTGGAGAATATTCGATTGCACCAAGCCATGCAAGGGCCTGCGGGACCCTGTAGTCTGCAAACATTGTCAGATTGCCGATGTCATGGAATGGGTATTTGTTAGTGGCAGCGAAACAGGCCCAGACGTCTGCTACGAAGATTTGTGCTCGTTTGTAGAAGAAAAGCCGATGGGTTGACTTCACGTGGTCGTTTGTGCCGGCCGAGGCGAGCACCGAGTCATTGAAGGATGAAAAGTTGCGGACAAGTAGACCAATTAGGTTATCGGCTGAGCCGTTGGCAGCGGCGACCAAGTCCTCCACCGAAGAATTGAAGGATTTCGTAAGAACGGTGCCAGCTTCGTTCAGAACCTTCACACGAGACTTGAGCATTGGTACTGGCACACTGTTTGCAGAGCGAAAGATGTGCGTAAGTTGGGAGCAGCTGACTTTGGCGTAAAAGGCGGGGTCTGTCATAGGAATTCCTTCCTCCAAGGCACGATTGATCGAAGCACAGAGAGCCCAATATCCCTCGTAGGTCTTTCCATTGTGAGAAACGGACCACCTGGGACCACCGAGTGGACCCCAAAAACAAAAGTTGAGTGTATCCACAACAAATATCCTGGAATGAGAACAATTTTTCATGAACGGATGAGGTTAGTATGTGCTGGTCTGAATTGAGTTGCGAGGATTCCAATTGAAGAGGACGAAGGTTTTCTTACCATGATAGAGCAGATACGTCAGGGGCAGGCGGATGAAGTCCATTGGCGCCCAACCACGAGGACGCAATACTTGATGGAGTGCGAGGGTTGGTAGAATTGAGACGAACTAAGAAGGCAGCAGCAGCATGACACGCTGATATGTTTAGGCCTACTCCGCTGCCAGCCAAGGCAGTAATAGCACGGGCGGAAGAACGCACAGAGTCAGTTGGAGAGTCTGGAGTTGCTGCGGCATTTGATTCTCGCATTTTTCACAGAGAAAGGGAAAGTTCGCCTTGGAAATTGCGAGGACGTGTGGGACCTTTCCAAGTAACTGCTCTAGCTGCAAGTGCGCCGACGCGATCCCTTCATGTGAAGTCACAAAAATATGGCAGGAAGTTGAATGTGAGCAAGGCGCTTCTACATATAAAAGCACGCAAGGATTAAAGATAGTAGTCGGCGCACATGTTTTTATGAGTCATACAAAGAACAAGAACCACCAATGGACGGGGTTTGTTTGCATAGAATTGGATCCAAGGCACATGGCTTACATAAGGCATGGCTTACATTAGGCATGCCTTACATTAGCGGTGGGGGTCAGAATTGGTCAATCAACAATTTGCCCATGCTAAATCGGATCGGCCTCCCCCCCATCCGAATTCTCAACCGACTCCATCCAAACTCCAGCCACAGTTGGTTCTGGTACGACACTCCTTGGCCATTCCGCCGCGTCTTCACCGACAGCCCCCGGCTACTCGTTCCCCATCATTACTGACGCGGTCACCATGCAGTCGCACGATCCGCGCTACGCCCCACCCGGCCGCGCGCCTTACCAGGGACCTCCAAGCGCCGCAATGGCCGGTCCTCAACCCCCGAGCGGTCCGCCGATGCAACGCCCTATGCCGCCTGGACAACCGCCGCAGCAACACGGACGCCCAATGCCTCGCCCACAACAACGTCCGATGCCGCCACAGGCGTACTCTGGCACGGGGCAGTCGATTCCGCAGCAGCCCGGCATGTACGGCGCTCCACCCCCGAATCAGCAGCCGAACGGCCACATGTCTCGTGGAATGCCGCAAGCTCAGCAACCCCCCATTCCGCAACCAGCCCGCCCGATGTATCAGCCGCCATCAGGACCTGGTGTTCGCCCTCCCTACCCTGGATCCGCTGCTGCCGCAATGCCCCCCCAACAAGTACCTGGCCAGCCGCCACAGCAAATGGGAGGATATCCGCAACCAATGCGACCTGGATATCCATCTCCTCCGACTACCGCCAGTCCCCCTGGTCCAAGATCGGTACCAGGACCGGGATCGTATGGCGCCCCCCCACCACAAGGAGCTGCTATCGGCGGCTATGCACCGCCTCGTCCTGGCACAGGCATGCGTCCGGTTCCTCCCACAGGCTCAGCACGTCCGGTTCCTCCCGGCTACACCAACCCTGCGGCACCGCAGCCGAATGGCGCTTTGCCGTATCCACCTGCGCAACAGGAAGCTCAACCAACCCAAGCACCGCAGCAAAAGATTCAACCCGCGTCCATGCCACGACCTTGCGCTTTGGAGAAACCTGTTGGAACTCCTAGAGACTACTATCACAGAGGGATGTCACTTGGCGCATCCAGTGGATCTATGCCGATTTTGCCTAATAGCAACTCTGACGTCATCACTGTCGACGATGGTAGCGCCAGACTGCGTTTCATGCGCATGACTACCAACTCAATTGGGTCTGAGCCTAGCCTCATGTCCAAGAGTGGAGTCCCACTAGCGGTTGTTATGCAGCCCTTCGCAAATACCGTCCCTGGAGAGGCCCCAGTGCCTGTCGTTGATTTTTCGAATCCCCATGTCGGTGGACCGCTCAGATGCGAGAGATGCTATGGCTACGCTAACCCGGGCTTCAAATTTATGAGCGGTGGTTCTCAGTTCCAATGCAATCTATGCTACCACACTAACACCACTCCGACTGAGCATTTTTCTGCCATATCACCAGCGACGGGTCAGCGCATGGACGCTGACACACGGCATGAACTGCGCGTAGGGTCTGTGGACTACATCGTAGGCTCAAAAGATTACCTTAGTAGACCACCGAAGCCAGCATGTTACCTCTTTGCTATCGATGTTTCGCATGGAGCAGTTGCGTCTGGACTCGCGTCGGCTGCCATGATGTCCATCAAGTCTGTCATTGGCGCCGGACTGCTTCCAGGAAGCAGAGAGGGAGCGCGAGTTGCAATAATGACTTTCGACAAGACTTTACATTTCTTCGATGGCCGCGGCGCTGATGAAGGGAAGACGGTCACGGTGCAGTACGTTCCTGACGTGATGGACCCATTCGTGCCCACAGGAGGCGGTGGGCTCTTCCTTACACCGGCGCAGGCGATCGTCGCGGTTGACACAGCGAGGGAGACACATGGCCTTGATGCTGGGCAACAAAACCCGAACGCAACTGTGAAGGCAACGTCTGCTGAAAGTGCGTTAGGATCGGCCCTTGAAGTGATCAAGAAGGCATTTACTGATTGCGGTGGAAAAGCGTACGTTGTGGCAGGATCACTGCCAACCGTTGGCGTTTCAAAGCTAGAACGACGAGGGGGTGGTGCTGCAGGAGGAGGAGAGGACCGCGAAATGGGACTCCTGAAAGAGGCATTCCCCAACTACGAAATTCTAGGATGTGAGCTCGCGGACGTTCAGGCCAGCGTCGATTTGTTCCTTGCTCCTTCCTCGGTGTACATTGATGCCGCGACGTTGTCAAGAGTACCAAGGGCCTGTGGAGGTCGCATGCATCTTTTCCAGGGCTTCGACCCGGTGCGCGACGGAGCCAGCTTGCATCGCGCGTTGTGTGCGGCCGCAAGCGGACCACGTGCGTTCGAATCTCTTTTGCGAGTAAGAACGTCCCCTGGCTTAGAGGCTCGTGGTGAGTTTATTGGTCACTTTGGGCGACCACAGCGAGGCGATGACGTTGCAGGACCGGTGTTTGATGCGGACTCCACGTTGGTGCTTGAGCTCAACGTCACCTCAAAACTTTCTGAAGATGACCGGGGCTCCCAAAACCGACCGTATGCTGGGACGGCATCGCTCTATGATGATGCGTGTGTACAATGTGCCATCCTATTCACAGATTGTGCGGGACGACGCCGGATTCGAGTGCACACACAGTTCGCGAGCAAAACTACTGTACTACAAGAAGTATTCCGGCATGCTGATGTTGACGCACTTGGATCTTTCCTCAGCAAGAAGGCCGCGTCTGCCGCGTTGGTTGGGGGAACAGCATTCTCAAAGGCATGCCAAGCTCTTACCGAGAAGACTGCACAAATGTTGTACGTGTATAGGAAACACTGTACAACGCAATCTCTGAGTGGGCAGTTAATTCTTCCGGAAGCCTTAAAAGTATTGCCGCTGCTGATACTTGGCCTAACCAAGTCGGCGGCTTTCCGCAAGTCTTCTATCTCGATGCAATCTGGGGATGCGGTCACTGCAGATGAAAGAGCAGGCTCACTTTCATTTCTTATAAGTGGAACAGCGGCAGACGTGGTGGCTATGTGTTACCCACGTATGTACGAAATTCAGGATCTGCCAGAAGAAGCTGGGGTACCCCTGCCACCCCCTGCCAACCCGATCGTGAGCAACGGAGGAGCAATGGGTAAAGGACCAGACGGGAGCGCAGAACCGATTGCTATGCCTAATACGCTACCTCTGAGCTCTGAATCGCTCACGGAAAAGAGAATACTTTTGATCGAGAATGGTATGCAAATGGTGGTTTGGCTGGGGTCGATGGTGGAGAAGTCGGCAGCCCAAGACGTAGTTGCACAGGTAGGCGGAGGCCGATTGCTGATCCGAGCCGAAACAGCTGGTTCGGGGACTTTGACAAAAGGCTTGGGCGAGAATGGAAAGCGTGTGAGCAAAGTGATAGAACGGATATGTCAGCAGCGAAACAGACTATCGCGACCGCAGGTCGTGCTTCGCAACGCACCAGGGGCTGGTGGAGAGGGCAAGTTTGTAATGCCATTGCTTGTGGAGGACAGAAACGCCGGGACGCATAGTTACGTAGAGTACTTGCGGCACGTGCATAAGCGAGTGATGGAGAAGATGGCCAACGACACTGCGCAGAGCGATATGCAGACTTGGGAAATGTTGAACCACGGATATTAGTTAGAGGACATACGTAGTGGTACGAGTGTATGGTATAGGTACTCAGCGGAAAGTGCGGAACATTCCGTCAGTAAAGCAAGGGCTTGATGAGCGCGAGTCTCGAGAGAGGATTTGTTATCGGCTGTGGAAGCTTGATATGAGGTACATGTCCTACGCCTACAGTATACCATACAGTATGTAGAGAAGTGTTTTATCGTGACGCACGGTATTGATACACTGCCAAAACCACATTGGGTCCTGGGAGTGTACACAAGAAAGGTTAGGCAGTTGTCGGAACGTTGGAACGTTGTTACCCTAAGGGTTACAAGTACCCCTCATAGACCCTGCGCAGTTCCAACATTGCACTAACATGAAGACACTAACATGAAGACTTCACCCTCTGTGTACGGTAGGTGGTGAGCGCTTTTCTCAGCAATGATGCAAAAACCGAAGCCAATACGTAAATCGGTAGCACATGTGAGGCTGTACGGATTGCTTCCAATTTAGGAGGCCAACAAATTAATTGGACTGCACGTTAAAACTATGCCCCAGTCCGCGCGCTGCACACTGCTCCCATCCACCATCCAATCACCCACTGCCAAGTATGCAAACCGTCATACAGAAAAGCGCGCCCATTCTCGTACCGCAACCAAGAGCTTAACCTCCACCATTTCCCATTCCATGCATGCAGTCCAGTGCCCTCAACTCCTCCAACATTCGCCCCGTTGAAACAGACACCCCGCTTTGCCACCCCGCGGTAATCTCAACTCTGTCCCCCACCCCACCGCCATGGCGCCAGTCAACGTCGTAATCTCGGGGCTCCCCTCCTCCCCATCCACTCTCTGTTTGCAAGTCGGCGACTCCCACGCCGCCCTCCCTGCCTCTCTCGTCTCCGACGCCCTCATCGCCGCCACTGGTATACCACCCTCCTCCTTCTTTCTCCGTTCCCACGCCGGCCTGCTCCGCCCGCATGCCCATGTTACCGTGCCCGGCCAGCACACGGCCTTCGTCGCCATGTGTCTTCGACGCGCCCTACCAGGGGGTAAAGGAGGTTTTGGCGCCATGCTAAGGGGAGGTGCTGCCCCGAGTAAGAAGACGAGCAATTTTGACGCCTGCAGAGACTTGCAGGGGAGGAGGCTTCGGCACGTGCGCGACGAGATTGCCCTCAGGGAGTTTGCCCGCGCGAGAAGAAGCGGCGAGGGTGCCAGCCAGGGGACGGACATGCACACCGTTAGGAAGAGATGCCGAGAGGAGACTGATCAGGCGAGAGCTGCCGAGCTCGAGGACAAGTCGGTCGATCCGGAGGAACTTGAGCAGGATATGGAGCGTATTGCGGGGAGTGTGGAAAGCGCGGTCGCTGATGCGGTGGGCACGCTGCAGTCGAGACAGAAACGTCTTAGGACGTCGCCATTGCCTGAAACTCGTGCGAGTCCGGTGCGCGCAGATGACTGGATGATGGATTACGATGGGGTGTCGTCGTCGGACAGTGAGGATGGCGATTGTGGGAAGAAGCTAATGGGTTCCGAAGCTGACCAGACCATGGCTGCTGATACGCGACCTGCTTCTGCCCAAATTGTGCTGCGATGATGTGCATGGGTAGAGTTTTTAAAGTAGCCTGTGCGCAAGGAGTTGAGGTTTGTGATGCTTAATTGTATCCTCGTGGCTCACAGTCTTCCGTTGGTTGATGACGCACCATTTCTAGAGTTTACGTCGAGGATACTTAAAGGATGATCGGTTGCACTCAAATCGTTATCATATTGAGACTCGAAGATGAGTGCTTGGCTTCAATGGTATTCTACACCCCATACGTGTAGCAAGGATCTCTACCCTCCCCGCCAAGCTGAACACATCGACCGGCACGCTCGGCGCACGATGTACGGCTACAGTTCAGACAGCAGATATGCAGTTCCTGTATACAACAATGTACAGTATACAGCAACAGTTTTAGCAATCAGCCATGAGATCCGCAACAGGCCCAGATCGATGGACACATTTTCTCCTGGTGATCAGTCCGCTGCATCAGGCCGAAGGCTCACCTGAAGGTCTCATTTCTCAGTAGCACACATGACGCGATCGTCTTTACTCAATCAACATTACAATAATGCTGACAACCCAAGGTGAAGTCAGCCGTAAAAACAGTCCACTCCGTCTTGTTGGGGTTATACTGGACTGCTTCGTTCAGCTGGTATTAATTACAGGTTTCTCCTTGGTGCATGCAAATCGAGGCGTTAGATCTCGCGCTTCTCAGGAAGGCAGCTGCTTCGGAAATTGGACCTTACTCTATAAGCTTGACAGTTCATTCCTCAGCAGTGGTTGAGCTCAGTATTATTCATAGATAGTTGGTTTGTTCACCACAAAGATAACCTTCATGCTAGCACTCGAAAAAAGAGTCATATTTCTATCTGCGATTTTCCTGACTCCTGGCTGGTGCTCGAAATGACGGGTCCCTGCAACTGAAATTCGTCGAATATGGTATCTTGAAACTAGGTGAACCCTAAGCTAAGCTTTGCCGCCGTGTAGTCTCCCTACACTGGGCGGAAACCATATTCAAGAGTCTCTCGTACTCAGGATGCTCTTGTTGAAACTCTGTCGTACCTTCCCCATCGTCTGAACCAGATTTTGTGCGAACTTGTGACAACGTTATTCGCCGTATCTTGCACCTTAACATGCCTTTTCAAGACAACAGGGACATTTATTGCATCTCAAAAGCCATTCGTCAATGCAATCTGTAAGCAAGAATCACGGTTAGCAAAAAAAACGGTGTCTTCGAAACGCGCATTCCCAAGACAATGGATTTAAGCGGAAACTAACGCACCTTGATGAAAAATATGATCACACGGCAGTTGCCTTACCCGTGAGTCCTCTCCAGAATATCCCTCTAGGCAAATTGCGCACGACTCCTGGCCAAAAGATATTTTACAATACTCGGGCCCGTCATCCGCCGATGGCCCGCAAAAGACTTCTCTAGATCCCTCTGCTTCGACAGAGAAGGACTTGAGTCGGTTTTCGATATCTGCAGGCGTGAGGCCACTTCGTTTCGGCCATTTTCTCAGAGATGATAGTGCTCCCACAATCCCATCAGGCGACGGAGAGAACCGAATTATCGAGGGCACCTTCCAACGAAGTAATCGCAAATAGCAGTACAAAAACAAAATTGACAAGGCCAAGAAGAACAGTTCATCAGCGTTCAGGTCGTCAAGTGCTTCAGTACTCTCCGAGAATTTGAAAGTCGAATTCGTATATTCGTTGTACAACAATTTCCCTCCAATGCTGTATCCCTGTGCGAATCCTTGCATGGCACAGTAGAGACGCTGTTCTTTTGAGTCTTTAAAGACAAAGGTGCAAACAAACCCTTGCCTTCACCAAATTTGCTATTGTATTGATCGAGGCTACGTTCAGTACGGACTTCCAAAAATAGCCAACCTCAGACTGAATTCTTTCTAGCACTTGAAGCACGCTCTCCCTGTCTTGGATAGTTTCTTAGTCGATATATATTTTCCATGAATGATAGGTTGACCCCATCGCATGGGTCCACAAGTCGTGTTTTGAGAGCACCGAAATTCTTTGGGGGGATGATTTATTCCTCCTGTCGTTCAGGTCGATAACCATCCATATGATTCAGTAGAAGGGACTTTTGGTAGCTTTCGTGGCAGATAAGAGAAGACATGCATGTGACGGCTGAATGATAAAAAATTGAATTGGCGAACATATTTAGCCAGTTGAAATTCAAAAAATGACTCCGACCGGCCGCTGTTTTGAAAGACTAATGACGATCTTCAAGACCGTCCACCCTTCTATCTGCGCAACCTCCAAAAGGTTTCGTGGCCAATGTGGTCAAGGTGAGCCTCATTCAGTATTCTCAGCACCTCAAGAGAAGATCAGACGAGGAAGCACTTCTGAAATTATTGTGTTATCCATGCTTTGAGGTATTCCCAGATGTTCAGAGGTCGAATGCCTCATCCACGTCCACGCATACTCACAGAAAATCGATGTTAAAAGACGGAGTCAAAAACCGAATCCTAACTTTCGGGCATGGCGTGAATATTGAATCAATAACTTCACTGCGCATAGCTGGTTGAAGTCAACATGATGTTTACGTTCTGAAGCTCGAAACAACTATTAATTGCGAGAATGAGGAAATCGCTTAAAAGCAGCACTTCGTGGTGGTGCGTCAAGTGGTTACACAGTACAATTTCTGATATCCAGAGAAGTTCGTCGCCGCAACGTTTTTTACGAGCAATCTGAGGGATACCACTGGGCAAAGCCTCAATTACTTGCGAAAAGGCTTTTAGTGCTTTGCAAACGACGGGCATACTCTCAGTTATTCCATCGACTGGGACTAGTTTCTTGATATCTACATAAATGTATGGAAGGAGGGCATCTCGCTGCACGGTAGCGCACGATACTGGTAGAGGTGTACAAAGAAGGAAGTGAGTGTGTGGGGAAGTAGTTTCGTAAAAAGAAAAAGCACTGGTCTAGTCTAGGAAGAAAATTAAAATCCCCCATGGCATTTTAACGGATGAGCTAGGGGGCCCATCTTCACGAGAAAGTGAAGCAATTGCCGGAACCGGAGATACACAACTCACTTTTACCCGTACAGCTGATCTGCGCCCTGCAGGTATGCTGAGTACAGTGTCGGGGTGGCGGTGTCGTAATCGAAACACTACATAAAGTATAGAGGTTGACGAAAATGGGAGGTTATATACTGTATGTACCCTTGTGCTAGGAATAAGAGCGCAAGTCTTGAGTTCTGAATCAAGACAGCGACCAAATTTAAGGGTATTTAAACATAGCCGTATTCCGTGCGCCCCAAGCTAATGCGAGTTTATCGAAGCAGATGAATGGATGCCGAAAGATACAGACTACTGAGAGTGCGCCATTGCATGCACTGAGGGCACGGTATAGTTGATTAAATCTTTCTATCGTACACTACTGTACGTACGTGCCCAGGCCAGAAGACACGAGCAAGTCGGTCATTCCTGTTGCGAATGGGAAGCAGCTCGTTGGTGGCGCGCGGTGATGTACCGCAAACTAGTGTTTCTAACCAAGACTGACATACTCGTCCATGGTAGCGGTGGTGTCGGGGGTCGATAAACCTACGGGCCTCAGGCCCATCCTGTAGACGTTCGCTTCAGGCGCTCTGCCGAAAGGTAAACTCAAACTCCGCTCTCTTGTGCGCAAATTCTGCATCCCGTTTACAGCCTGGAAGTGAGAAGCGGTGTTGACACCAGGACGAGAGTGCCAAGTGGACAAGTTCACTCGGCTTGCATTCGAATTGAAGTGGAGCATTGCTCATTTTCTAGATTTTCAGATATTTTTAGAATGTAACAGTAAAGTTGACGTCATGAACTGATGGAACGGAGGCGCTGCCAGTTTGCACGTTTTCAGCCTTTTCCTGTGTCAGTCGGCACCACGTATCCTATGGCTGGTGCATGCTCCAATTCCGGCCTAATTCCCGATATCCTCCAGCTAATTTACCCTATACAGGACCCGCCGATCAGTTCTCTTCCCGAAACCAAAGAAAACCCGCACCGCATCCCCTACCGATTGCTTCGCTCCCCCCCCCCCCCCCCCCCCCCTTTTGGCCCCCCCCCCCCCCCCCCCCCCCCCCTTCGTACCACGCACCACCCCAACCCCACTCTTACTTCCCATTTATTCTCCAACCCGCAGCGTCCACGCGCTCGGATCCCCCACCTCCTTCACCCTAACCCAAGCTTTTTAACAATGGTCGGACCCCCTCCCCCGCCGCCACCGCCGCCAGCCCCGCCAGGACCGACAGCAGGCGATGGTGACAACACGGGCGATATGGCCTCTGCCCTCTTTGCTGAGATCAATTCCCTCGGTGAAGCTGGCGCTCGCTCTGGACTGAAGAAGGGCGTCCGCGGCCCGGTCAATGATGCAGCTCCGGCCGTCACACCGGCTCCGAAGCCGGCTGCCGCCCCTGTCGCGAAGAAGTCTCTTGTCAAGGGAGAGCCTATCTGCGAGCTGCAAGGGAAGAAATGGACTGTGGAGAATCAGATTGACAATAGGGCTCTTGAGATCAAATGCGAATCCATGAGGCATACTGTCTATGTGTATCGGTGTGAGAAGTCCACTATTATTGTCAAGGGCAAGGTTAACTCTATCTCTATTGACAACTGCAAAAAGGTCGACCTTGTTTTCGAGGACGCCCTGTCCCAGGTCGAGATTGTCAACTCGGATTCGATCAAGGTGCAGTGCACGGGCAAGGCGCCCAGCATTACCATTGCTGGCTGCCAGAGCGTCACCTACTTCATGTCCAAGGAATCTGTTGAGAATGCCATGGTGATCACGTCGAAGAGTGCCGCTATCAATCTTGTTCGCCCCCATCCAGACGACGAGGACGATATTGTCGAAACTCCCATTCCTGAGCAGTTTTGCACCACCTTCAAAAAGGGCGCCTTCGTCACCGAGGCTGTTGAGCATGACGACTAATTTTCAACCCCATTCAAATCAAGGACTCACAGCTCTAGAAATTTTACTCACTGCACTTTCGTGCAATACTTAACCGCTTCCGGGTCAGAAACGCGTCTTCTAGTTTTGATTGCGCCAGTAGGGTACACCAGACCGATTTCATCTTTGTCTTCTTAGTACGCTGTTAAAGCTCTTTACCGCAGAAGACGGATTTGCGAAACTTGTTCGCGTTTTGTGCTCTCCCGAAGCGAACATATATCCGTCACAAAAGAATATATTTCTCCGTCACAATGTTTTTCAGGGAAAGCAAGCCAGGTGATACATCGGCGCACGTAGGAAACTGAACATCCTCCAGTTAGAAACCAAACGTGATAGTTGTTCCTAGCGTTGGGTCCGTATTCCTGCGGCGTGTCCTCGCTAGAAAGGCCAAGCATGATGCGAACCCGAATGTTCCTACTTTCAAAACAAGTATCTATGCTCGATGTGGCATGCCAGCCGCCCTTTTGAAAGTGTACTATCTTAGAAGTGCTAATATGCATAAGATGAGGTGTCAAGATACATTCATTCTCTTTTTTATCACGCTTATACTCTTCACTATTGTACATAGCGGGGGATGTGGGGATATGACTTAAAACCCCGTTGTTGTGTTCCACGTTTTGAGGTGAAAGCCCAAAAATTGCTCGCTGCACAAGTTAGCTGGTCTTACTTGATTTTTACGGGAGAGTCGGTGTCACCCGCACCATACTTGTTTCCGAAGTGGTGGTTGACATCTCTATGCATGGCTTCATCTGCGCGTACGTGAAGGATCACGTCTCTGATCCTGGCGTTCTCTGGAAGACGGTAGTAATTTCTCGCAATAAGCGGTGCGGGATAGTTTTTTAGCTTTCCGCTGTCTATACTGGCCAAGTAGTCTGTGTAAGCTCGATGGGCTTCTTCTTCCAAGTATCCAGTCAGGCGATGAGCAGCTCTTTGGTGGGTAAGGTACAGACCCGAGTAAAAGGCCAAATAGAGGCCCTGTGCAACCCTGACGAGCGACCGTTCCATAAACGAGGGCTTGCAGACTTTCATAAAAATGAGCAGATGCATACGCTCGTTCTCGGCTTCCTCTTGAAGGACGTTGATCCCTGCATTGTGTGAAACAGACCAAATGAGAAGTTAGTATACGAACATAACAATTGAAGAACACATTGAGCGCGACTGATGAATGACGAATAGTTACTTACATCCATGATCCCGCTTCATGTTCCGAAGAGATCTCAAATGCCTGTGAAATCCACCGACGATTCCTGGGACCGCGGCGACAGTCTCCAGACAGACGGCATGGTGATCATACTTCTCCCGGAAGAAAGCATGAACGAAGACACGCAGAAACTTCATGAGGCCGAGTGCGAAACGGTCTATACCATCCTGAGGTTGGTAGTGATAAGGCGTACCAATCTTCTCAAGGTCTTTGACAGAAAGACTGGGTGGAAAGGACTGATTTTGGTCTGCGAGTTGCTTGTGACGCTGGTAAGCTTTCAATATTAGCTCCCGCGCTTCCTGTTGACAGATGTAGAGTTTGCAGTCAGTTGTTGCTGCTTTGCACGGTGTAGAGGGGCACGAGAATGGTTCACGGACTGGGAGGGATACTTACTTCATCAATCCAGGCGAACTTTCGAGATTTTTTGTCTTCGCTGTCCTTGTCTTCCGCCTTAACCTGGTTGACACTTTGTGTGCTGAAAGCATGGGAGAGAGATGGAGCGACAGAGCGGTCAAAAGGACTGAGCTTTTGGGTGCGATGGAGGAGACCTTGGTAGGGAGGAGAAGAACGAAGTGATGTAGTAGCGGCAAGACGAGTGAGGCTTCGTGAGACCGGAGCAAGTTCACGAGATAGGAGAGCGCTCGTACCGAGCCTGGCAACGCGTGGGAAAAGCAGAGCTTTATTCATGGGATTGTTTCTGTCGGTGATGCTTGCGTACTGCTGAGCGTGGAGGGTTGTGAGAAACGGGGTGTCGTGCTAGGGCCTAATCGCGTGCTTAAGTACGGATAGGACCGAGGACAAGGGACCATTGCTGGTTTGTAAGGTGGTTTTAAACATATTTTGTAAGGATGATGCATGAGGGATGCGAGGATGTGAAACTATCAACTTTTGGAGTGGACAGTATGTAAAAAGTACACGTTTCAGGGACCTCGAGAGAGGAAGAGCTTACAGCAGGCCATATGGAGGGACAATGCTAAAGCTTTGTCGCTCAGGCATTTGTCGATAGTTGTTGGACTGCGTCGGATTGGCAACAATGGGGCGACGGAAGCTAAGGGTGTGGCCGTTCCAGACAACGTCGTAGGAGTTGCGTCCTCGTGCGGGTCCCAGCATTTTGGTGCAAGTTGTTGCCAGCAACACATTGGGTCGAGCCGAAGAACAAACTTCGCAAATTTGTTTCACACACATGCCCTGTAATTTCAGTCAAGATCAAAGTTAGTTTGTCTACAAATGTTGTCTACAAATACTGTACACGTCATTGCATGAGTCATGAATGCCTGGAGCGAAATAACAGGGCATGCATTGATTGGCTGGAATGGAGGCCCTTGGAAGGGGTCCCGCCAACTACACACGACCGTCACTCAAGTGCGTGAGAGTTGGATCTGACAAGTGTCGATGTTGAATCGGCCGTGATGCCGATATTTTCCATGGCAAGTCTGGGAGGAATCGAATGAAATGCCCTTTCTCCCCTTCGATACAGTTCAATGTTAGGTCACATTTCATTTTCCGTTCCAAAAAAGATGTTAGAGAAATAAAAAACGAAAGGGGGGATAATTTAAAAAAAACGAAATTTTTGTATTTAGTAAAATTGGTGTTTTTTATGTATATATTCGTCACTTGTCAGACCCTCAGCATGTCGCGCTAACACGTGTAAGCGAGTTCGGCTCTTGTAGCTCAGTTGGTTAGAGCGCCAGCCTAACATGCTGGAGGTCTGGAGTTCGACCCTCCACAAGAGTAATCTTATTTTTTGCTTCGCACTGTCTTTTGTGGACAGATACCTCCCCTGCCCGCGAGGAAGGAATCTAAGATGAGACCTGGTGCTTCCATGACCAAAAGACTCTTCCGATGAGCAAGTCCTTCCCTTATGTGATCTCACAATTAGCATTGCGCGTCGTCAGTGGATGTGTACAAATGTTTTTCCTGTGCATTGCTATCAATAGACACTATTCTAGACGCTTCTGATCGAGACTTGCATGGAGGTGCAGTTCGGGCAAATGGTTCGAACATTTTTTGGTTTTTTCTAAAAGACATTCCTCGCAGTGTGATGAATCTTGACGCTTCTCAAAGTTGCTTGTTGACATGAGAAGCGTCAACGCTTGCGTTTATGAGAAGCTCGTCTGTACCGACACGCATGTAGTTGTCAGGTATCCGGGAGTATGCTTGAGTACCTCTTGGTAACCTCGGGTAGCAACCGCACGAGCTTTGATGGACGACTGTGGATGGGCAGAAATGAGGTGCATCCGTACATTTCCAATCATAACTGGCGATCAATAAGAGTACTGTAAGCACTTCAGGACTCACGAGCGCTGAGATTTACGTTAAATTTCCTCCCCCCTTTGTTCTGTCGCCAATGGGGCCGGCCCCCCACGGAAGGCAGGACGACGTCCGCATCGCCTCGCCGATTGACTACGCGGCACTGCCAACCAGAAGCCGCCGCGGACAGGATCACCGTCCACTGTTCCTCCGTCACAACCTCGCTCCTCGTCTGCCATTTCGTTCTGCTCCTTGCTCCCAATTCCCGCCTGCAACGAGCCACGGCAATGGCTTGACCGCCTCCCACCCTCGTCCACCACCAGTCCTTGCCCCACACCCCACCCCACCATGCTGCGCCTCTCCCTCCGCCACGCCGCGCACCACCGCCGCCGCCTCTCCTCCTCGCACCTTTCCGTCGCGCCGTCGACGTCGGCCATCCACTGCCCCGCCCCGCCGCTAGATCTCTTCGAGGATGACATCCTCAACGAGATGTTCGCCCCGACCGTGCCTCCCTCTTCCTCCGCCCCGCCCGCGCCCCTCTCCCGTCCGGACCACCCCTTCCCCTACGCGCACGCCGAGCAGGCCGCGTACAACCGCCAGCTGGCCCTGGAGGAGGACGTCATCGAGGTCGCCATCAAGCGCTTCCGCAAGATGGCCCGCGACGCCACCACGCGCGGCGACGTCGTCACCCACAGGCCGGCCGCGGACCTGCTCGCGGGATGGTTCGGGCCGTTCGCGCTCGCGGTCAAGAGGAACTCGCAGCAGGTGGGGAAGACCGAGGCGGGCGCGGGGGGGAAGAAGGCCAAGCGGCGGAACCGCCGCTCGGAGGCCGCCCCGAGGACTGGGCCGGGCCGCATGTCCGTTGAGCAGGAGATGCGCGCCGTGCTAAAGGAGCTGTCGCCGGAGGCTATCTCGGTCATTACCATTCATACTATCCTGGCTACTACTATGAAGGAGCCGCACGGAGTCCCGCTTTCGCGGCTGGCGTTTGCGGTGGGGAATACGGCCCGCGCGGAGATCAATTACAAGAAGATCGCTGAGTTGAAGCGGAAACAGGAGAGGGCAGAGAAGGCGGACAGAGTCGAGGGGAAGAGCACGCGTGCGCGCGGGGGGAAGAAGCCTGCCAAGCGGAAGCGTTCGGCGCAGGCAATCCTTAACAGCGCCATTGCCTCGTCTTCGTCGATTGCGTCCGCCGTCAATTACGCAGCTCAGCAGGTTGCCGTCAAGGATGCAAAGTGGTCCGATCGCGAGACTATGTTGTTGGGGACGCATTTGATTGACCTTCTCGTAAACATTGCGAAGGTTGAAGAGGAGCCTGGAAAGTTTGCGCCCGCTTTTGTGCATTTCCTCAAGTTCAAGAAAAGCGAGAAAGTTAGGGTAGGTTGCTTGCAGCTGTCGGATGCAGCTCTGCGGTTGCTAAGCGATGATGGTAATATCCTTGCGGATAGTGTTACCCCTAAGCAGCAACCGATGGTTGTTCGTCCCCGGCCATGGATGTCACCAGCCCGGAGCCCTTATTTGAGCTGTAGGGCCAATTTGATTCGTACGGTGCCTGGGAAGGCATTGGAAAGGGCTTTGAACGGCGCGGATCTTAGCCTTCTGTATCAAGGCTTGAACGCTCTCGGCGATACAGCTTGGACTGTGAACCGTGGAGTGTTGGATGTGGCTGAGACATTGTGGGAGAACGGTGGCGGAAAAGCGGGGCTTGTAACTAAGCAGGATGTGGCAGTGCCGAACAAGAAGAAGTTCATGGCTGAACAATTAGCAGCATTTCAGGACGATAAGCGACTGGGAAGGCCTCCATCCGATTTTGTTGAAGGGGACGTTGTGGATGAAGAGGAGTACATTTTTGATGAGGGCAAAGCTTCCCGAAGACTACGGTTTGAGAGGAAGAAAGCACAAAAATTGAACAGAGAGCTCGTCTCTATGCGAGCAGATACAAACCACAAGATAGTGCACGCAAGGCGATTTGCGGAAGAGGAACGGCTTTGGCTTCCTCACAACGTGGACTTCCGAGGGCGAGCCTATCCTATCCCTGCATACTTGCAACATATGGGTTGCGATATGACAAGGGCGATGTTGACATTTGCGCGGCCAGGTATCGAGCTGGGTCCGAGAGGGTTGTACTGGTTGAAAATCCATCTCGCAAACAAGATGGGTGGCGACAAGTTGTCATTCGACGAACGAATTGGGTTGGCAGAGGCGAATATGGGCAGGGCGATTGCGGTGGGTCAAGAACCAATGTCAGACAAGAATATGGAGTGGTGGTCGAAGGCTGAGGATCCCTTTCAATTGCTAGCAGTATGCCAAGAGCTTGCTGATGCGAGCGGACGTTACGGAGGAGAACTGGCTATGGAGGGATACGAAAGTCGACTGCCAGTGTCAATGGATGGGTCATGCAATGGTCTTCAACACTACGCAGCGCTTGGAAGGGACGTGGTCGGTGGAGAGCAGGTCAATCTAGTCCCTAATAATCGGCCGCAAGACGTATATACAGGCGTGGCGAAGCTTGTTAACAAGCGTATTGACGAGCTGGCGGCAGATGGAGACGAAGTGGCTGAATTGCTGCGAGGGAAAATCAGTCGAAAGGTTGTCAAGCAAACTGTGATGACGAGTGTATATGGTGTAACACTGATTGGGGCGAAGCAGCAGATTAAGAACCGGCTTGCGGAAATCGATGGATTCCCAGAGGACAAGCTGTTTCCTGCCTCCTTAAAGCTTGCATCCCTAACGTTGTCGTCTCTGGGAGACATGTTTGGCGGTGCGACCAAGACGATGGATTGGTTGTATGATGCAGCGACGCTTATCTCTCGAGACGGACACGAGGTGCAATGGACGACACCAGTGGGACTACCTGTGATTCAACCGTACCGACGAGAGGGACAGACGGTTGTGCGGACATTGATGCAACGAGTGACGCTTGAAAAGTCGGGAGAGCACAGCCCTGTGTACGGAGCACGGCAACGCAGCGCATTTGCGCCCAACTTTGTGCACTCTATTGACTCATCGCACATGGTGTTGACGGCTATGGGTGCACAACGGATGGGGCTTAATTTTGCAGCTGTGCACGATAGCTTTTGGACGAATGCGGCTCACGTGGACCGAATGAACGCGGTGCTAAGAGAGCAGTTTGTGAGGCTGCATTCGAGGGACCTACTGGATGAATTGAGGGAAAGCTTCCTGATTCGATATCCCGGAATTGAGTTTCCAGAAGTGCCGGCTCGAGGACAGTTAGATCTGGATGTCGTGAGAGACTCGCCGTATTTCTTTAGTTGAGCTGAATTGACCCCACTGTAAATTGTGTAAGTAGAGAATTGTGAGAGTCGAGATTAAGACGACGTGGCACCTCGTTGCCTTACAGTCGGCAACGCTGGCACATTACAGAGGGGAGTGTATTAGCAGAATGTGCGGCCGTGTTGTTTAGGCCGAGACAAAGGTTGAATCCATGTCCCCGAGAACACGGCGAGAAGAAGGTTTGCTACTTTCTTCAGCCTTCCACACTGCACCCGCTATCGTCTTTGTCCCACCGCCCTTGTTAGGGTACTCCGTTTCTCTACACTCCCCACCCCCTCCCCTTCCGAACCCCCCCATCCTGATCATCCCCGCTCACCCACCATGCGCGTCCGTTTGGACAGCCGCGGTCGCCCACGCCGCCCAACACCCGCCCCTCCTCCGCCGCCTTCATCTTCCTCCTCCTCCTCCTCCTCATCCTCCTCTTCGTCATCCTCCCCCCTCCCGTCGTCGCCCGCATCCGCACCCGTCTCCTCCGACCTCGCCACTGCAGCCGACTCTGAATCCGCCGCCGCCGCTGCCGCTGCCGCCTCCGCCGCCGCCGCTCCGTGCCCGGCATCCACCGTGGCCGTCATCCCCCCCGTTGATCCCCTCCCCCCCGTCCCACAACCTCTCCCGCAACCCCCTCCCCCGCCCGCCTCCAGCGTCCCACTCAAGAAGAATGGTAGCCCGGATGGAAGGCCGGTTCGGCAGGTGTGGTAACAGGAGGTAAACGGGGGAT